TTGGAGTTTTTTTAATGGTTTAGAAACCTCATTGGGCTTTTAAGTCATTTTCCCTTTATACTATCGTGTGGTACATGTTTTTTTTAACATCAAACGTGCGTGTGTTCTATGTCACTTAGAGACTTAATATGATATCGGGTTTTACAGTGAGTTTTTTTCATAAAAGCTTTTTGGCCTCTTGATCATCTGGTGTGAAGAAAATGGCTTTTTATATGGGATATCATAACCTAAAATGAGAGTGTTTTTGTCATCGAACGAGTATTTTTCACAAAATAATTTCATTTCTCAAAAAGGGTTCTATGTAACCATTTTTGAGATGGCGTTTGGTTTGTCAATTTTTTGTATATGGTCAAAACTATATAAACAATGAACATCATGTACATGAACTTCTATGCTTCTCCAGCTAAGCGTCGTCCTTCCCTTTTTCACAAGGGCCTATATATGTCCAGTGTTGGATGAAGAACATTGTAGTGGGGTGCATGAACCATTTAAAAGTGGGTTCCACTTTCAATTATATGAAATAAGATTTTTTTGGTCAAAAAAATATATTAGACCATCCGATTGGATGGAGACAAGATTCTATAATAAAAAGGGTTTACATCTTAATAAGATATTAAAATATTTTGTATACAAGAATAACATGATTGAGTATGTAAATTAATTTGATAAAGAAGAAAATCGTTTAAATAGGAGCTACATTGATCCCTGCAAAAATCAATCTTAAAAGATTTCAAATGGTTGTCGTTAAAAAAAAAAAATTTAAATGACTATAAGCATCGATTCTCATCCATTAGTTATCTTAATTGTGCTTGTCTTTGTTTCATAGAATACAAATCATCTACCATTTTATAAGTGAAAAACAAAAAAAGTTACTAGCTATACTGATTAATCCACAGTTAAGATAGCTAATTTTGAACATGAATAAAATAAATGAATCTGATCAGCAATTAAAATAAATGGGTACGAATGCTGTGGGATTTTAGATAATAATTGTGAGACTTAATATTAGTTAATTGACATAGCATTTACTTCTTATATAATGATTCAGTTAAAAAAAATGGGAGGGATTGAGCACCAGGGGAGGATCTAGTATGTAACAAGAGCTACCTCTCAAAATTTTCCATCAAATATAAATTTAGTAAAAGTTCGTCGGTATCTGTTATAAATCCGTCGGAAACCTGTCAAAAATAAGTTAGTAATCCATCACAAAGTCTGAGAAGTGTGAATTTAGAGTAAATCCATTGGTTTAGTGATGATTTTGTGGCTGAAAATGCATCAAAAATGAGTTTCGTTCTAACAGTACAACCACTAAAAAATTTGTACAACTCATGTGTTTTCTTTCTAGGTATGCCACTCTTGAGCACTACTTATAGGTAGCTTTGAATTACTTTTGGGCTTAATATTCATCTACATTATGATTAAAGTTTTAGAAGAGATTAGGGAGAGAAGGAGGGAGGGAGGGGTGGGGGGAGCATCCGACAACCCCACTTTTTCGCTCTATCCATGTAAACCACACTTAAGCTTTTTAGCACCCACCTTATGGGTTGTTTGATATGCTTCTTGTTAGGTTTGGTAAAAAGGTGAATCTAACTCGATTATTACACTTAGAAACTTTTTGGCAATTCTATATGCCTCTTACTCAGTTATATTTAGAGATGTGTGTAACTCACTCCATCTCTATTTCTTGTTAACCCTTAACAGTTTGCCATCATGTGGTGAAACATTTTGTATTAGTTCATGACATCTAAGTAAATTTTCAAGCATATGCATACTTCCAAAAACAAAAGGGTGAGTTTTGTTCTTATAGGTGATATAACCCTATCACTAACAGAAAAACGGATTTCAAAGCTACTATAGAAGCTTGGATGGTAAGTACATCACAAGCCATAATGACTAGAATCTGAAATTAGGAATCATTTTCTTTCCATGAAGCCAAAATATCAAAAATCGCAAACTCTTGTATACTTGTATGTGCCAAAAAATTGCATCCAATGTACCTTCCGAGCTCACTACTAGGGGTGCTAGACCGACGTCGTTTGGCATTTTCATTTCTTCAAGTATTATAGAGTTGAATGGTTGAAAACCCAAAATTTTACATGAAGTCATAAATGATTGTTGAACCATATTTTGTTAAATACACTTGAAACAAACTCCGGATAATATCATTTTTCTACCCATTTCAAGGTAACCTACATATGATGGGAGATTGAAAAGGGTATATATTAGACATAGGTGTCTACTTGATAGTCTACATGAATTTGTTTCTTATTAATCTTAAATTTACTTTATAAAAACAATATTCATTCTTAACTTACAACAAAAAAAGCATAGATACAACAGATCAAAAGCCAAAATCAAAACCCTCATCATGGATCTTCTTCATGACAGAGAGGCCCTCTCTCTCTCTCTCTCTCTCTCTCTCTCTCTCTCTCTCTCTCTCTCTCTCTCTCTCTCTCTCTCTCTCTCTCTCTCAGGTAGGGGTGTTCAAAACATCCAAAAATGACTAATTGTACCAATATTTAGATTTATCAAATTAGTATTTTGATTTTTTTGGGTTCAGTAACAATTCAATTTTTTCTATGAATGATTAGTTGAAATTGATATTTGGCTCATAATTCCATTGTTTGTTGTTATTACCGGTTCTTATTGTGTGTTCAACGAAGTAGGGTGGAGTTTCGATTGTTTTTGTGCATTTTGCTTCTACTAAATGACATGGTATTATAAAACAAATGGTTTCGTGTATGCTAATATAAAGACCAAAGGTTATGTGTCTGCTAACTTAGATGAAATTCTACCACATAGGGTTTTGTATATTTTAAATTTAAGGCTAAAGGATCTTTGTTTTCTAACTTGGGACTAAAGGTTGTAAGCTTGCCAACCGAATGTTTTGCATTTGCTAATTTAAAATTGAATAACAATGCAATGTTAGAGGAATTTGTAAACTATGTTATTAATGATATGACTATTGTTGTGTAAAATTCGGAGTCACAAAGAAATCTAATTAAATTATTATAGATAAAATCATATGAAATCTGAAATTAGATTTCCATACATAAATTGAAGTTCGGAAGTTTTGTTTTTGTTTGGTTTTGAAAACAATGTAAGATGCCAAACGACTATTCTTAACTCACAAAAATCTTTCAGCATCCTGCAAATAAATGTTGTTATCCATTTTGCTAATGATAATTGGACACAACATTCATGGTTGTTCGGAAAACGATCTAATGTGTCATTCAAATTTTAATGTTGAAAACCATCAAAAACTCCAAACAAGAAGACAAGTAGGGGTTCATAACCGGATATCCGAAAATTCGGATATTCGAATTTCGGATCGTTGATTTTTGGTATCCAATTCCGTATCTGAAATTTTGGATATCCGAAATTACGGATACGGATTCGGATATCCGGAAATTTGAAATTTTGTTCAAATTTGAAAGGCATATAAGGTTTTAAATTAGAAAGACATATTTTTAAATTAGAAAGAAATATGAAGTAATATAGGTATTTAATTAAGGGTATTATGAACCCATTTAATACATGGGTTAATTTTTTAGAAAATTAAATATAAAGGTCAAAATATTTGAAAACTTTGAATTTATAAGAAAATAAGAAAAATAATGAACTATTATAATTGAGAATTTAAATTTAAATAAATAAACAAATAGAACTAATAAATTGATATCCATTTATTACTATATTTATTACAATCATTACATTAAAATATTATGTTGAATTTAATAAAATAGAAAAAATCATAAAATAACACGTGCAAAAAAAATTAATTCAAAATAATCACAAAATGACAATTGATTAATTAAATGAAAGTGTGACATGTGATAAAAAAACGTTCATTTATTAGAGTATATATATGTTATAGTAACTAATATCCATATTATAAGACATATGTGATTAAAATAACAAATAATGTATAAATTAAAATCAAAATTTTTGGATATCGGATATCCGAAAAAAATGAAAAACAGTCTCCAATTTCGATTCCGAAAAAACGGATATCGGAAATTTCGAAAATCCAAAAATTCGGATATCTGATTTTTCGGTTAATTCGGATTCGGAATTTTGGATACGGATGTTTTTAAACATCCCTAGAGACAAGTATTAGCCAAACGAAGTAATTGGTCCTAAACAAAAAGTTTATCAAAAATATGATTTGATAGCTAAAAGCTAGAAGTTATAACTTTTATTTATACACAAAAGTTTATTAAAAACTAAAAGCTATGAAAAGCTAAAAACTCTTAAAAGCTGTTTAAAGCAGCTTTCTTTTAAACTCCTTGTAGACACTTCGAATGCATGCCTTCTTCCATCATAGTATGATTCTCCAATCGATTTTTCAAATTTAATGAGATTCAAAGGTTTTATGCATGTGGGTTTCTTTGCGTCTAATGGAAGGGGATATGCTATTATTTGAATGGGTTTGATCGTATATAGTTTGTATTATAAAACGTCGGAGTTTGTGTCAATTGGGCAACTGTTCGATATGTTTTCCGGAGGATTCAGTCAGAAAACAACATGAAACACAAGGTATCCGGTTTTATTTCTTTTAATTGAGACTTTGATAGAGTGCGTTGCATAGAAGATAAAAAAATTCTTTCTTTTCTTGTTAGTTGTTAATGGGATGATGGAAATGAGATTTTTCTTTTATTGAAAAAACTGTCCAGATCTAATCAAATAACCATCTTACCTTGATCTACAAATGACCAATTTAAAAAACAAATACATACAAGCACTATGTATATATGAAACATAGAAAAACCGGATTTTTTTTTTGTTTTGCAAAATAAAGATTTGGCGATGTTCGACTGAAATACAATAAGCTTCTATCAACAAAATGCAGTCTTTTTATAATCAAGAATCTTGATTTCAATGATACAAAAAAGAATGAATGAGACATCAATCATCAATATGAATTCAGATTTCAGTCTCAACCTCTATGCAGCAATTGAGTGGTTGACTTTCAACCCTCCCACAGTTTGACTTTCTTTTTACACTATGTCATTGCCCCATGGTGTGGTTAATTACAAAAGAAATGTTGCAAGAATTTGAAATACAGATTTAGGTAAGCCATTATTACTTGGAGGTGTAGATGATTCCATGTTTCCTCCAAATAAACCTTGCATTTGATCCCCTACTCTTCCCTGAATATATCCAAATTCATAATTATTAAAACAAACTTGAACCAGAGACCTTACTTATAGATTCTCACATCCTGCTAAATTATACACAAATTGAAGATTGTATATTTGTGTGTAGTACCTTAGCAGCATCTTTGAGAGGACCCCAACACTCTACTCGGTTGTACTTTCTTGAACTTGAGTGAAAAAAGACCCGAACAAATGCATCCATTAACTCTTTATGTTGACTGAATAGAACCCGATCCCCATACAACACTGCTTCAAGAACCTACATTTTTACCAAAAATCTCTTAGGCGCCATTTGTTACACAAGACATAACAGGACATGATGATCTTGTACTGTGTTTGGGATGTGACTGATGTCGATGTGACAAAAATTGTACTTTTTGTCCCATCCAAAAAGGTGTGACACAGACATGTTTCCTCTATGCAAAAAACGTGAACGTCCTCGCTATTAAAAATAGCCCTAGAAAGCTACACATCTTTAGCTAACGCTAAAATCTTCATAATCATTAGATTAAGGTGATGATATTTGATTTACCAATGGCAATTCCTTTGCGAAAATGTAGTATCTGAACTCTGCAACAAGGTCTAGTAAAGAATTCGGTCCGCTAACATAGCAGTGAACATCAAGACACATATGACCTTTCACTTCAGCCCACCGAGCTACTACATCGTCCTTATTATACCACCCTCTCAACTGACATCAAACAAGTACAAGTCAATCAACACCTTTTCTAGGGAATTAAGTATGCATTAGGTACATCCTATCCATACATTGTATGTATTTTCAGGCACATTATGCCTCAAACATACACTATGCAACACATATTGTGTCTGACACATTTAAAATGTGTCAGACACATGTAATGTGTATGTGTCCGATGGACACAGACGCATTGTACTTATACAATGTGTCTGTCATGTACATCAGACAATGTGTAATCAGACACATTGTCGGCATGTATAGACACATTGTATTTATTTTTAGGCACAATGTGTCTGATACACCTGGAAGAAAATAGAAAATAGAATGCGTCTGGAAGAAAATAGAAACCTGGTCATGGTGAATAACGTTTGAGATAGTTAAGGTGAGGTTAGCAGTGAAGTCACAATGGGGAAAGGTTGTAGGTTCTTGGGAGAATTCTTGTGAACTGATCGGTTTCTTCTCCCTTGAAAACAACTTGTAGTTTTGAGGGATAAAAGGTTGCTGGAGGGCCTAAAAGTTTCACTGCCTGTTAAATAAAATTCCAAACAAAACTAAATTAGCTTTACGCATATCAAGTAATCCGAAGCAAAAAAAAAAAAGTCGAACATCATCGATCAAACTAAAACGAGCTGTTCTTCCTCTTTATAAGATCAAAATACATCGAACAAATAGACATAATTTCATCACTTTATGCATCATTATCGAAAGAAACAAAGTCAAACCATATGAATTCGGTAGCAAAACAGAGGGAAAGAACCTGGTAAACAAGTGTATTGTAAGAAGGTCGAGTATCGGGAAGAAAACCAGAATTTGGTGAGTGTCTTCTTGAAGGATTTAAACTGCAACTGAAAGTATTATAAAGATTCCTGTGAAGGGATGTTAATGAAAGATTTCTGCTTGCCATAGACACCATTGCAAACTCATCTCTCTTCAACCACTCTTTCTACTAATAATTTGATCTTTCGGTTACCCCATTCATCACCACTCACTCTTCCTACTAATCTAACAAAGGAGAAAGAGGTGTGTGGTATGTGGGAATTTTGAAGTTAGAAAATCATTTGGAAACCCTATGATTTTGAGTTTTGAGTTTCTAAATTTCGTTGGTGGGTGTTTTGTTATTGTGGAGCCTATCGAAAATCCATGGGAATGCAGAAGCAACCACTCGTTTAGGTGGAGCCTCCTATTTGATGGATAATGTGAGATACGTGGCCATGTATTGCTTTGTTGAGTTCATTTGTGATTTTTAATTCTAAAAGAGTAAATAGTAAATTACTAAAATTATACTAAGGTTTGGTTAAAATTACACATTTGATCCTTAATTTTCTTTTCACTCTGATCGTTCTTATGGTTTGATTTTATTGCGTTTTTCGTCCCTATAATTTGGTTAAAATTGCACGTTTGATCCTTAACTTTATATATATATATATATATATATATATATATATATATATATATAAGAGATGAAAAACGCAACAAAATCAAACCATAGGGACGATCTGAATACAAAAAAAAACTTAAGGATCAAATGTATAATTTTAACCAAACCATAAGGACCATTTCAGTAATTTACTCAAGAGTAAAAGATACGGAATAGGACTTGTTAAGGTAATTAACTTTTCGGGTTGTTTACATATAGGTAACTATCATTTTTTGTACACATCTAGGTAACAAACTTTTTTGAACTGTTCACATATGACCATTATGACCTGCTGTAGCAGGTTATATCCAGCTACAGTAGGTCATAATGGTTATATATGAACAGTTTCATCAAGTTCGTTACCTAGATTTGTACAAAAAAAACAGTTACCTAAATATGAACAAAACCAAAACTAAGAGTAAATTACATGAATGGTCCCTATGGTTTGGGGGAATTTGTGCATTTGGTCCGTAACTTATTTTTTTAAATCGGATGGTCCCTACTGTTTATTTTTGTTACGCGCTTAGTCCCTATCTTACCTAAAAAGACTATTATGCCCTTATTAATTTATTTTTTTAAATAATTTTCTTATTTATGTTTTTTTAATATGTTTAAAAAGATTAATAGACCCCACATATCTGTATCTTCTCACCGTAAACCTGAAACCACATTTGAGAAATTTAATTTGGGTCCCACCGGTCGCCATCCCATCTCGCATCCTCTTCAACCTCTATTTGCTTTCAATCTTTAGTGACATGGAAGTCTTCACCATCCTTTTTTTTGGTCCTTCAACTTTGGCAAACAAATACCATAACCTATTGTCTCTTCACTTTATTGGGTTGTAGTGTTGGTTCGCTGGAGTTGAAGGACCGACAAAAAAATAGATGGTGAAGACTTCGTTGTCATTAAAGATGGAAAAGAAATAGAAGTTGAAGATGATGAAAGATGAGATGGTAAGGAGATACAGATATGTGAGGTCTATTAGTCTTTTTAAACATATAAAAAAATACATAAATAAAAAAAAATAATTAAAAAAAAATAAATTAATAAGAACACACTAGTCTTTTTAGGTAAGACATGGACCAAACGCAACAAAACAAAACAGTAGGGACCATCCGAATTAAAAAAATAAGTTAGGGACCAAACGCATAAATTCCCCCAAACCACAGGAACCATTCATGTAAATTACTCTTACTTTTGGTTTTCTTCATATTTTGGTAACTATTTTTCTTTTGTACATATCTAGGTAACGAACTTGTTGAAAGTGTTCACATGTAACCATTATGACCTACTGTAACCGGATGTAACCTGCTACAGCAAGTTATAATGGTCATATGTGAACAATTTCAAAAAGTTTGTTACCTAAATATGTACAAAAAAAATAGTTACCTACATGTGAACAAACCGAAAAATTAATTACCTTAATTAGTCTTATTCCCAAAGTTTAATAGTAAAACCTTAAAATTGTCCATGGGTTTATAATTTTTTTACGGTCTAAAAATGAATCCTTTTTTATACATACCGTAATTATTGATAAATTTCATTTTTGGTTTGGTCTTTTATTTATTTAGGAGTACTGAAAACTAATGAATAGCTAAAAATTAGTGTATATATATATATTATATATATATATTATATATATATATATATATATATATATATATATATATATATATGTATAGGTAAACTAGCTCATAAACTAATTAAGTGAAATTTATAAAATAACATATGTTTCTAAATAATTTTGTTGAAACATTAGTTCATATAATTTTTTTAAATAGTCACGCAGTAAGTTATAAGTTATTTTTTGACAACATATTTTTATGCGGTTTATAACCTACAATTTTATTTTATTTAACAAAATGAACATACAACTCATAAAAATCTCCTTACGAATCACACGTCGGAGAGACGTTGCCACATTAATGATTATCATTACTTTCTACTATATCTTGTCCCATCATAGCTAACAACGAGAAAATATCTACCCATTGTAACATCTTGTTTTGAATTGTTCCGTTTTTAGGATGAAGATCAAGGACTGGGTATTTTTAGGTTTCAGATCCTTGAGAGATTAGGTTTTGTACCCAGTTGGAGTTGGATAATGTATCTTGGTCGCTCGAGTATTCAGTTTGAGTTTTTGGGCCATAGGGGTATTTCGGTAATTTGTGATCTTGGGCTTTTATGGAAAGTGGATTTAGTTCGGGACATCTTATAGCGAGTCTGAATTGATAATAGGGTTGAGCGTCTCGATACCTTTTTATGGATATATGAATAGTTGGAATCGGGGTTGTATCGAGTGAGTTATGGCCTTCAGAAGAATTAGGGGTTTGGGGAAAAGCCCTAGTACGCGAGGCGCAGCTGGGAGGAATGTGGGGCATTTGTGCAAGGTTGGGTCGGGGTGCGCAACCTCGTACGTGGGGCGTACGAGGGTCAGATTGAATGCCCTAATCTAAGGGTTGTATCCTATATAAGCATAAGGTTAAGCCTCTTTCTTCATTCTAAGTTATCCCCCACCCTCTAAACCCTAGAAATCGTCCTTAATCATTCATGGTGGGATTTTGAGCTTATGGTGTCCATTTTTGGTGTGTTTGGTTCATTTTCAAGAAGGTGGAGTTTGATGCAAAGGTGGGGATCAAGAAGGAGCTTATGGGTCTTGCTTATATGTCTCGTTTCTAGCTTGTTGGAGGTAAAAAGCTGTGAACTTGATCATTTCTATCTTAGATCTCTCATTTGTGAGTTTTAGTTCATTTTGGTCCGAAGGATGAGATTGGTGGGATGTCAATTACACCATTTGTTTGCAAATAAAACGTAATATAATGGTAAAAAGGGGTATCGATCCTCAGGGAAATGGTTGTATTTAATTACCAATGCAACTTAATAAAACTAGTGGAAATAAACTAATTACAATTAAACTAAAAGGGGTGTTGTGATTGCTTGAAAACTAAAAGACTTGAATAACTAGAAAACTTGCAATTAACCAAGATGATGAGATGCTCAAATCTTGGAGAAAATTGGCAAACCAAGGCAATTCAACACAATGAACATTTTTGTGTTTATCATTAGGATTTAATATGAAGCTTATCATTCATCCCAAATTGGTTATAACAATCATGAAGCATGATATGCCAAGATTTCTCATAGGTAGTATGGAGGTTAGGGAAGCCCACAACACACCTTCTTAATCAAAATCAAAGATCCAATTGAAGCAATTGAACCCAAGAAGTTGATTAGCCTTAAGAATGAAGAAATCCCCAATTCCTAGAGGATGTCAAGGCTTACACGTCCATAAAGGAGTTGTGATTCATAAGCTAGAGATGATTTCTACCATCATAAAGCCGATAAATCCCTTGTTCTAAGTAAATTCAATGATTCAATGCTAAACCAAATAGATAAACCAACAATTGCTTATTAAAGTACCAAGCTCATGATCAAAGCATTAAACAAGCATAGGAATTATGAACTAGAATCATAGACATAAGATACATGATAAATAAACATAAATCCTTCAAAA